TTTTTCGATTCTCGCTTTCGTATTCTTGCTTTGTCGATTCCGGCGATTTCCCGATCCGTAGCAGCGCATTTATAACAGGGAATCTGATGACGGGTGCGGAAATTGGGTTATGACGTTCTTGATTAGCTTGCGGATTTGACTCTTAGTACACTTCTTGTTTCAATGTTAGTGAAGAAGGAATAATAACCGTAAGATTGAAATTCTTATCCAAATAACTATACTTGAGATGACATGGCAAAGATTTTTTTTGTCCTTGTTTTGATTTCATAATATGAGATAATAAAATATGTGATAGTTTTCCTAATGGACTAGCACCGCTTTCAAATTACTTAAATGCAGCGTGATTATGATAATAAGGTATGCTGATATGAAGTTTGTTTGAAGAAATTGACAAATTTCCTGATATTTAAATCCTTAAAGGACTTCATTAGCATTTGAGAGAGTGGTGCGGGATGTACATAAGTTGTGATCTTCTCATTGTTCTTTTTTCCCCCTTTGTTGAAGATGAACAGGCAAAAGGTCTTGCACAGTTACGTTAGACAGGAACCAATTTGTCTGTGCATTTTAGTTTTTTTCACTTCCTGCGTATTTTGCCTCTACGTCTCATTTTTTTTTTTTTTTTTCCGGTGACCTCCTGGAACTCTATGTTCCTCTAAGGCCTTTTCACTTCTTGTTTACCACTAAAAAATCACTCAATACCACATTGATTATTTTCATGGAGTAGTAGTAATTTACAAGGCTAATTTAACCATATTAATTAAATTGGTTTAAGCTGGGCCTAAATGATGATATTTTGAGCTTCATACCAGATACCTCAACACACATCACTTGACCCACCAAACACCCACCCGTTATTAGGGGTGTCAAAACGGGTTCGGGTTTTCGGTTTAACCCGAAACTGAACCGAAAATGAAACTTGATGGGTTTGGGTTCTCGGTTTCAACCCGAAAGTGTGATGCTCCGGTTTCGGTTTCAGTTTAACTCGAAAACCGGTAAGGACCCGAAAAACCCGAAGATGTAACTTGGACTCTCATCCTTCTTTTCGTGGGTTCCCTTTGCCGGAGGAGACGAGTCGACACTCGACAATCCTTCGCTGGACATCCCTTCACCGGCGAACTCATCCTTTTCTTCAAGAACGAAACTTTCCCCGGCACCGCATCTGGGTACTGCAACTCTTTTCTGATATGGTTTTAGGATTTCCCTGGCTTCTTGATTCAGCTCATGGATTCATCGATTTCTCCCAACTTCATTGATTCAGCTTCACATCACCAAACAAAGAGAGGATGACGGGGACAGTGTTGATGGTCGATGGCGTTGGGAGCCCAGGAAGCATATTAAAGTGGCAAGGAGGAGGCAGGCACGAGCAGTTTCCTGTGCCCAAAGACAGCTGACAACCGCGAAGAGAGGAATTTTGGATTAGGCTGCAGATCCAGTCGATTTACATGGAGAAGAGATTTATAGAAGTAGAGAAGGCATCTTTCCATTTCTTCTTCCTTTACGGAGCCTACGGGGGATGTGGCATCCATAAATCTCTACAGCAGGGGGAAAATCAATGAGATTCTTCGGTGGATTTGATGAATCTCCTTGAGATTGATGGCGAGTTGGCGACGAAGAGGTTTAGATGGTGGCCGGTAGTGATTGAACTTAGGAAAAGGCATCCGCTACCCAGATGCGGCAATATGCTTTTCGGGGGAATCGGTGAGGAAGCTAGGCGAAAGGGAGAGAAGCGTATCACAGATGGGGAGAGAGAGCGTTCCAAGATTTTTACGGTTTTCGGGTTGCCTTTACCCGAACCGAAACCGGCAGTGCATATTTCGGGTTCGGGTAACCGAAACCCATTAGTGCTGCTTTCGGGTTCGGTTTCGGGCATGCAAGTGACTGGGAAACTGGGTTTCGTGTTTTTCCGGGTTCGGGTTTGGGTAGGCAACCCGAACCGAACCGACACCCCTACCCGTTATACAAGAGGAGTCAAGAGTCATATAGGGAAAGAGTCATATGACGACTATACAACTCTGTTACTTGCAAAAACAAATCTAAACCAGACAAAAGTAGATTGCAAAACGACCCATATAGGGAAAGAGTCATATGACTATACAACTCTCCAGCTAATCAAATTAAAAATAAATGTAAAAAGAACATCCAAGTCCAACGGGATGAGATAGCATGCCTATCCATAAAAGGGTTGGCAAAATGATAACCCCTATCAATTATAGGTTTTTAAGGTAATTAATTTGTGTTGCATTTAATAATCTGTATGAATTAAAAAACACATATTAATTACTTTCCTTTTTTCAGTGCACTGGTAGTTGTATCAGTGCACTGGTAGTTGTGTACAGGTGCAATGGTAGATGTATCACTGCAATGGTAGTTCCAAAAAAGGAACGTAATTAATATGAGTTCAGTATACCAGTGCACTGATACAACTACCAGTGCACTGAAAAAGGAAAGTAATTAATATGTGTTTTTAATTCATACAGATTATTAAATGCAACACAAATTAATTATCTTAAAAACCTATAATTAATAGGGGTTGTGATTTTGCCAACCCATACAAGGGTTAGCATGCTAACCGATCCCATGTCCAACAAATCAAGACGTCCACCTATTTTTAAAAAAAATATTAGCTACGAAACAAAATCATTGAAACTCTAAACAAAACTACCAATATTTAATTTTAAAACCAAACCAACCCCGCAAATGCATTCGTAGAGGGTTCTGTCCGCACTCATCCCAAAACTCATCAACACATGTCTTACCTATTTTCTTTATGATAGAAAATAATATTTTTTAAATAAACTAAAATAGGATAATGATAATCTTATATTTTCAAAATGAATTTTAGCATCCAAATCGAAGCCTTCTTTTATGTTCTATAAAAGTATTTTTCACCTTTTAAAAAGCAGAGCTTTTAGAGGTTTTGGCCTTGTTTCAGCTTTTAAACATAAAAACACCTCTAAAAGTCAAGTCGGGCCAAACATAAGCATTAAAAAGTCATATTTCTTTTTGTTATTCAAAAGCTGAAATAATATAGGCAGGAGGGACACTTTGAGCTGTTGGGAAACTTTTTGTAGGAGAGTTTTGTTTCACATTGCCGGAGTAGAAAAATATAATATCATGATGCCCAATTCAAACAATATTAATGATTAGGGTATGTCTATGATGACATACTTGTCACCGTAACTTGTACTTTTAGGTCGCCTCATATAGGATTAGGTCGATTTAATCTGCATTTTTAGCCAGGTCGACCTTATATAAGATTAGGTCGACCTAATATGTCGTTTCAATTTTGTGAGGTTCCCGAATACACAAATGTGGGCACGCTGATGACTTATCACGGTCGACCTTTGAAATGTTGTGGTTGACCGTTTGTAGTTGAAGTTTTCATTGTTGGTCGACCACAATAAAACATCGGTCTCCCTTTTCATTAGCGTCAGAAGCAAAATGGTCTACCATAAAGGTATATAGGTCGACCACTTGATGGCGGTCATTAACAAAATGGTCGATCATTTACTGAAAAAGGTCGACTAGATAGAAGAGAAGTGTTGTATCCGTTTATCCATCATCATTTGACGTAAAATGAAGATCAAGTGTTGGTTTCGCGGTCAACCTAATCCGGTACGAGATCGACCGAATACAAGAAAATCAACATATGCCCTGCGTCATTTTTGCTTATGTATGTCGATGTGGGTGGTTCTTTTGCTCGTACAAATTACGTTACAAACCAACAGAATCAGTCATATATAATGATAACAAGGACTCATAACTTTCACGTGGTTGACCTCTTGAATCACGTACAGCTGCAACCGCAGAGGATCTTCTTCACAAAAGCTCTAACCGTACAAAAAACTAATTCAGAGTTTCGGTGGCGGTGAAGGTGACATATATTCATATTTATAGATATTTAGGAAGAGAATGGGTCGAAATAAGTGGTAGATAAGTTAGGGTTACTTTTCTGGTGTTGGAATCCTTATCCAATACGGATACGGAGTGCACGTCGTCGGCCTCGTACTTATGCGGTCGACCTCAGTTAATCAAAATGGTCGGCATATAAGGTATTTGGGTCGACTTTTCATTCTGTTCGCTTCAAAAAGAGGTTGACCATTTGGCTATAAATGGTCAACCGCGTCGTTGAACCTCACAAAACTTAAATGGCATATTAGGTCGACCTAAAAGTGCAGATTAGGTCGACCTAAAAGTGCAGATTAGGTCAACCTAATCCTATATAAAGCCGACCTAATCTTATATGAGGTCGACCTAAAATTGCAAGTTACGGTGACACCGTAGCAAAGTCCTAATAATTATAATTAAATTGATTTTATAGGAACCGTAATCGCCTTGTAAATTATCAATGTTGCACATGACAATTTTTAGGCGTAAACTTTAATATGTCACCCTTAACTTAATCGTATGATCGACGGCCGACGGTACAATTTCCCAATCCTAATCCTCAGCAGAAAGGATTGGTGTATGTTCGTTCAAAAACAAAATTTTAGAAAGGCGAAGTGCTGGTGCCTTGAAACAAGTCCCAAACGTTATCATCAGAGTTTTTAAGTTAAGAAATCAAACAAAGAGGCCGATTCAGATACTCCATTGCGTAACAAAACAACTAACCCTAGACAAAACTAAACGGCAGAAGAAGAGCATCAGATACTGCATGAGCCGTACGCCTACAGAACACCATCAATCAAATTCAAGAATTCTTGTAACATACGTTAATTAATTACGTGATCAGCAATAAACTATGTGACTGTGTAGTGATCAAGAGAATATATTTTATATAAATAAACACAAATAACTCAAGAACTGAATCCCCTCCCATCCCCCCAACATTTTAAGTCAAAATAATAATAATCATGACACCACCAATATTTACAGTCCTTGTTCTGGCAGCTGCGTTCATCCTTAGCGCCGGCAACTTCTTCGTCGTCGTCGTGGAAAGCGGTCCAAACCTAACCAAGGTCTATAGCGACTGCGGGTTGAAGCAAGAAATCAGCGACCAAATGAGAGGCCTAGCATTGATCTCACTGGGAGAGGCGATTGACACTGCACAGCCCGGCCACGAGCCTTCCTGCAAGGTATACATAGAGGGCTATCTCACCGTCGCCGCGTCGGCATATTGCTTCCACTCGGTTTCTCCCGGCGACTGTAAAGACTGTCTCCATAAGACTCGGACCCGGCTCATGGACAAAGTGTGCGCAGGTTCATTCGGAGGCCAGCTCGAAGTCGGCGATTGTTGGGTCAAGTATGACGCCACTAGGTTTTGTTGAATATTATTGCAACGATCTATCTAATATATATGGTGGGAAAATCACTCTAATATGTGGGTAATGATAATACTTATAATCAAATGTTCTGAAATTCTGATTTGGAGTAAACAATAGATTAATTAATTACTAAATCACTTGTTTAATTGAGTGGGTTTTTTTTTTTTTTGAAAGATTTAATAAAGTGGTTGATGTGCACGTGACACGAGATAGATTCATATAAACAGGATTTGGAATCCCATCACCTTTTCTTTTATGTTAATAAACAGTTGTATTAAGAATGGGCAGAAACTGGGAACACATAAAAGCAAGAAGAATATAACCACAAAAGAGACTTTAAGTTAGAAGACCGTAATACTAGTTACAGCCAATATATAGCAGCATTTATTTTGATGACTTTATTTATTTTAAAGGGCATGATCAAAATTAATCCGGATTTATAAAAGGAGAGGGCACGTCATTATTAAAAATTAGGGAGCACACACGCGTGTGGCTCTACTGCCTCTCGCCCTTAGCACAAGTATCATGAAGCAGACAAATAAAATACATACCAGAAATAGAACAAACCACACCACAAATAGCATAAAGTATATAAAAAAGTTTAGTTATAAAGCAAACTAGAAAACGTCCACAAAATTCGTCAGATCGGTAACTTTAAAGAAAACCACAAGTTTATTAAGCCAACTCACATGTTTTTTAAAGCATACTAGAAAACTCGTAAAGCATACCACAAGTTTCTCAAATCATATAAAAAACCTCATAAACTTGGACATATTTGTAAATATAGAAAAATTGTGTTATCATAATGTAAAAATTTTCAGGTAGTAAATGTAAATTTACTTCAATATTTTTATGAATTTAACCAGCTATTACTATAATACCTCAATAAATTATGTTACCATGGTGCTACCACTAATGTGTGCTAGCACTATATCCATTCCTTTGTTGGAAAACTTTTCATGGGACAGTTTTGTTTCACATAACAGTAAAAATTCTAATACATGAGATCTGGTTTAAACAATACTAATTGTTATAATTAACTTGTGGGCAACGGGTTAATCTCCATAAGTCTGCTATGTGTGGGAGTGCGAATGTTTCAGAACAAGAGTTACATTCCCTCAGTATGTTTCTAGGAGTTGCGATTATGTCTCCTGATGACAGATACTTGGGACTCCCGTCCCAGCTTCGTCGGTCTAAATCATTGACTTTCAATTTATTGAAGAGGATCTGGCTGCACGGATTCGAAGTTGGAAGACCAAGGCATTGTCTCTAGCGGCAAAGGAAGTGGTTATCAAGTTGATTGGGGCTGCGGGGCCTCTCTATGCTATGTCGGCCTTCAGACTACCCCAAGAAACATGTCGACGCTGTAACAGTCAGTTGTCGAAGTTTTGGTGGGCAAACCAGGATAAGGAGAATGGCATTCATTGGGTCTCTTGGCCTGCGATCTGTCAGAGTAAGTTTGTGGGAGGGCTTGGTTTTCGGGATTTTAATCAATTTAATGTTGCTTTGTTAGCTAAGCAGGCATGGCGCATTCTTTGCAACCCATCTAGCACTCTTGCCTGGATTTATCCAGCAAGATATCATCCTCAACGGATATTTTTTGAGGCGACAGCAGGCTTCCGTCCTTTGTTGGCATGGCAAGGCATCCTGTCAGGAAGAGATCTTCTACATCGGGGTTTAAGATGGCAAGTGGGAAACGGGACTCGGATTCACACTTTAACGGATAATTGGCTTCCCTCTTCTCCTCCTTCTACCCCTGTTTTACGGCCAGGTTTGAGTATTTGCCCTCCTTTAGTCTCAGATCTCATTTGCTACTTCTCACTCGTGGAAGAAGGATCTCTTACTTTCTCTGTTCACTCTAGAGAGTTTTGATCTCATTTTGTCTATACCTCTCCCTATTTGTGTTTCGACTGATCGTTTGATATGACATTATTCTTCCTCTGGTCTTTACACTGTTAAGACAGGTTATCATCTTTTGTCTTCTGAGTACGATCTTCATCATCCTCCAGTGGACCTCCCTTTTGAACCTCGTTTTTGGAAATTATTTCTTTGGAGTATTCCTGTTCCTCCAAAGCTAAAGTTCTTTTTTTGGCGAGCTGTCCGCAGCTTCTTGCCCTTGCAGATAGTTTTGTTTACTAAAACTCTTGTGTCTGACACGATCTGTCCTATATGTTCCGGGGAACCAGAATCTTTTTCCCATTTTTCTTTACATGCAAGGTAGCTCAAGGGCTATGGAGGCTGGCGGACCTTGAAGGTTTGAGCATTACTCTTGGAGGAATGAGTCCTGATGAGGCCTGGCGTCATCTTTTATTTTCTATGAATCTTTTGAAAATTGAGATAGCTAATATTGTTTTCATTCTCTGCCGAATTTGGAAGGGGAGGTGTTGGGCGGTCCATGGAGGCATTCAATATCTCCCATTGGCTCTGTTTTGGCAGTTTCAACGACAAGTAGATGAGTGGAGGACGTTAGGGCCCAACCCTTCGATTCAGCCACCCGATGGTACTGTTTTCGCAGCTCCAGGTCCTTCACGTGCTCCCAGAGTTACACCTACGACTCTTGGTTCCTCAGCTTTTATCAATGTCTAGTTTGATGGTGCTACCAAGAGTGGTCAAGGAGGTAGTATTGGCTTTGTCGGCTTTCATACGACAGGTAATGTTCTGTTTGCTTTTGGAAAATTTTATGATGGGATTCAGGACACTTTTCTAATGGAATGTTTAGCTCTACGGGATGTTGTACAGTGGTATCTAACTCATTCCTTTCTTGCTGTTTGTTTTCATGGGGACTCTCAACTCTTGATCCGTCGGCTGATTGGAGGTGATATGCATCATGTTCGCGGTGGCGCTATTTTGGAGAACGTTAGGAGCTTGGCATCTTCTTTCCACAGTGTTTCTTTCTGTTTTGTTTCTCGTCAACTTAATAGGGCTGCCCATCATGTGGCACAAAAGGCCCTCTCATCGGGAGTTCGACTATTAGTCGACTCCCGCGCTTTTCTTTCTTACGGTTTGTGACTTTTGATTAATACTCTGACTTTGCCAAAAAAAAACTTGTATTTATAAGTACATTAATCACCTTTTAAATCATCAATGTGATACGTCACCATTTATAGCTGTAAAGATTAATATGTCACCCGATCGAAAACGTCTCTTCCCCAATTCAATTAATGGCTATTTTAGTAAGCGGGAGATTTGGCTGCTGTCTAGGTTGCAGCGCAACGCTGCTGCCCAGCCACATGGCCTCATTTTATTTGTTTAATTATTATGCTAATTAAATTTGGACGGAACGGATATGTATGCATTTAACGGCCTTTTCAAACGGAGAAGTAGGAAAGATAGGGAAATAGTGAAATACGGGAACTTGGTGCTAATGGAAATTTAAAGAAACCTATTATCAAAACAATTTGAAAGAAACGTACAGTGAACTTATGGGTGGCAGTGTGAGTGTGATACCAATTTGAAAGAAGGAGGTTACAGGGGATTAAGAGGGGGGAGGAGCTCGAACCGCAACGCGGCGTTCGAAAGTAGTGTCAAGGGCACATCTCTAAGCAAACTTACTAGTCCAAGAGGTTCCTGCGGAACCATTATCCTGAGTAGCGCTGAAGAATCCATGCTGATGTTGGGGGGAACATGACGAGACCAAAAGAAAAGAGCCGGGGCGCAATCCCTGAGGATGTGAAGAATCATCTCTGGCTGACCCGTACACTGCAAGCAGAAAGGATCCGCCGCGATCTTCCTGCTGTGGTGGAGGATGTTAGTCGCGATCTTCCCCAAGAAGGTCTGCCACACGAAGGTTCGAACACGCTCCGGAACCGGGAGGGGCCAGATGATCTTCCAGTATTTCTCGTTCGGGTCTGGTTGCTGCTGCATGAGAAGAGTGAACGCCGATTTCGTGGAGAAGCGGCCATCGATAGAGCCCGACTAGAAGAGTCGGTCCTCCTCCTGTGAAAGCTTGTCAACCGCAATACACAAAATCTTCTGGTAAATAGCACTTGGCAGGAGGTCGCTAAACAGCTCCGTTCGCCAGCTTCCATCATCCTGCTCCAACGGGACTTCTCCTAGCGCCATCTCTCGCAAAGGGACCTGCAGAACCCAAGGATCAAGCCAAAATTTAGTGCCTCTACCATTCTTAATTTTCCACGCACACCCTTTTTTAAGGATGGGAGCAGCTTTCGAGAAGCTGGCCCAGGTAAAGGAACTTCCCTGAACTGGACGGAGAAGACTGAGACCTTGCCTTTGTCTTCCATACTTTGCCTGCATAACTTGCGTCCACAAAGTATCTTTCTTCTGCAAAAGGCGCCAGCCCCCTTTAGCTAGCATAGCAAGGTTAGATAGCCTCGTGGGTCTGAGTCCCACTCCACCTTGACACTTTGGAGTTGTCATCTTTTCCCACGCCACAAGGTGCATCTTGCTCTTGTCCGGCTCATCCCCCCAAATGAAATCTCTGTTCAGCTTGTCAATACTCTTGCAGACTTTACTGGGGATCATCTCGGTTTGCATGTTGTAAACAGGCATGGAAGCATCGACCGACTTGGTTAAAGTGAGTCTCGCCGCGAAGGACAAGCGCTTAGCCTTCCACGGAGCCATCTTCTTTTGGGTGCGGAGGATAAGAGATTGATATCTCTCACTGGACACCAGTTCCTGAATTGCCTGAATACCAAGGTATCGTCCCAGAGCTGCCTTGAGAGGGATACCCGCGTGCTGACTCAGTCTCGAAGCCCTCTGCCGATTTATATTAGGAGAGACATATAAAATCGACTTCTCATAGTTGACCTTCTGTCCTGAGCTAGAGCAAAATTCCTCCAAACACCTTTTCACCACCTGAATCTGCCTAGATTCCGCCTCCGCAAAAAGGAGGAGGTCATCTGCAAAGAAAATATGTGTAAGGAGTGGACCATTCGCAGAAAGCTTGATCGCTTTCCACTGACCACCATTCACTGCCTCATCAATTATGTGAGTAAACGTTCCATGCAAAGAACGAAAAGATAAGGGGAAAGAGGGTCTCCCTG